GGGAGCATTGGACAACTGCCTCTCACTACTTTGGGACTTTTCGGCAGTGTGAAACCACAACCCGATTAGGGGTCGAACCCGGGACCTCCAGATTACGAGAAGAAGCTTGTTGACTACCTAGCTACTTAGGCCGGAATTCAGTGACCTTTGAATTTTAACTTCGTCAACTCGTAATATAGCGCCATGTCAACGTGAGGTGTGATCGCATCAAAAGTATTAGTGAAAGCAGCACTATATTGACAAAGTAAGAATTCACGGGTCACTGAATGGTTAATAAGCTTCATCTCGTAATCTTAAGCTACTGGGTTCGATCCCTAGTAGTGTCGTGGGTGTGCACTGCTGAAGAGTCCCAAAATAGGAATAAAACAGCTGTCCAGTGCGCTCTCTGCTGAATTCTCAGTGATCTTCACAACTAATGCTGGTTGGTGTTGAAAATCTCACAGCTAAAACTAATCCAAAATTCCTACAAATTCCCAATATCTGAAATTTTGTTTATTTATGAAAGTCTACGAATTAAAATCAACTAAAACGAGTTAAACAGTCATATTAGCAGATTAGTAATAGAGCGAGCATAAAAAATGCACTTGGCTTTGAAGAGAAAAAACATGGATTGATGCAAATCATGTCCTTAATGAATTCAATTTTTTGTTTAACCAAGCGTTCATAATTTACTTCAAATTATATAGCCTGATCCAACAGTGTGTATGCGTGTGTGTGGGTATGTGTATTTGTATGTCTGCAGGTTCCTATTGGTTCCCAGCTATTACGTAATATAAAATCATCAAAAAATGAGGGGTATTCAATCAAATGAAGGATAATTGATAAAATTTGTAGAGAAAGAAGTATGGAGAAGCAGCCACACAAAGTTAACTCCATTTGCGCAGCCCCCCCCCGGCCCCCAAAGAGTGAGGAACATAACTACACATCACATTGTATCACCAACAAACAATCTAACCATCTTCGTATGCAATACACACACACTCACAAACATTTTCCACATCTCCTACATCGATAGGTAAATGTCATTCATCAATAAAAACTGCCCCAGAATTTTCGCAGCACATCATAAAGTCACAAAAACTATTTTATGTGGACTAAATACAATTTTTTAAAAAAAGTCTAATTAGGCGCTAAAATGTAAAGGAAAGGCTTGAACAAAATGAGACTCAACACTAGAGGAATGGACAACTAAGAACACAATTACTTGAGTGGGTTTGATTGACTTTTGCTTAAGAATACCGTATTTCATGTTTCCTGTCTAGAAAGGTTGAATAACACAATCCCGAATGGTTGCCGAAAGGCAGTAGTGGCTCTATGATTTATTTCTTTGCGTTTCGGGTGGAGAATAGGGCTGCAAGCTACAGCTCTGAAGTTTCGCTAGCAGCAGTGTTTATTTTTCAACGGGTAAGGTTGTTAGCCTCACGCTTAACCCTCCGTCTTCACCGGGAATACTACCAGACAAGCGAAGATTAGGAGTGCGTCGGTCAGGCATCGATACTGGTCATTCTAACTCAACAAACTCCTCCTTCAAAGTAATTTACCAAGTGAAGAGCAACCTACCAAAGGCAATAAAGCTTGCGTCTCCTTCGCATTGCTGAAGAGAGAAGCTGGAGTTCTGTATGCAAAAGAAAATTATTCAGGCAGTTCTACTGTCATGATGGTCTCCACTAACTTTATTTTTGATAGTTTTTATCTCTCTCTATAACCATTTTGTATTTCTTTCAAACTCGTACGTAACTTCACATTTTCATTCGTCACTATACGCATTCATTAAGTTATTTATCCAATTACGTAACTCCAACACCTTATTCGAATGTTCCCAACCGATAGCTGCGACCTTGATGTGGTGGTTGGGCTTGCACATTGCAATGACCCAACAAACTACACTGGCTGGAACTACTGTTCCTGAAGGTCCTACCTTGCCAGGAAGGTTGTTGTTGTTTGTGGACGAAGTCGTACTGCTGGGGAACAGGGGTGTCACAGCAGTGAGGTGTTTCCCTTAGATGCTATGCTGTCTCTCCACTCTGGAGAGAGGGGGTTAGAAAAGGTCGACCCCAACAATTGTACATCCCAAATTACCCACGATGGTCCGTAACCGGCAGTAAGTTTACAAATACGCAACGAATCCAAAAAACCAGTTCATACGGGCCGTATGTGACCGGCCTCAAGCAGTTGTCCCCTGGGCTCTGCGGTCAGGCAACACTTACCCTCTTTCTGTTTCAGGTACCCAAAGAATCAACCAACTTCCACGGTGTGAGCAACCGGGAAGTAAAAACCGCCCACACACACTTTCAAGAGCACTTCCAAAATTCGAATGTTCTTTTGCACTGAGTAATATTAACATTTATAATTACGACAACTGATGAAAAATTGTATATAAATGCAATTGCATAGCTACAGAGGAAAATCAATTCGCAGAAAACAGCCGCTTATCTGAACTACTAATTTTGTTGTTTCCAATTATGCATGGATGAGGATTACTCATGAAATAGTTTGTGCAAGTAATGTACTGGCAGAAATGGACAAAGATACCCCGATCGCATTATTTTGAGCTGATCACGACGGGCACTAGAATCCAAGATGCGTATTTCATCCTAATTGGAACTAGACAGATGGGTGTATCTGCATTCCTCGAAAGTGACGATGCTCCCACTGGGACTCGAACCTTGAGTCCATTGTTTCAAATGCCAAAAGCATTGATCACAAAGCCATGAGAGCCAGCTCTTGTGGAACAAGTACCAGTCTCATAGAATTTGCGTAAAAACCACACAGCAATGATTGGAAAGAGAAAAAAACTAAAGATAAAAGATCAGTTTACCACAGTGGGCAAGTTGAAAGCCAAAATAGGGTGAGATTCAACTTAGTTCAAATATAAACAATAATAGTAAAGCTGCTGTGTGAAAACTTCCAGTTAGCAATCCAAAAGAAGAGAACTTAAAACAAATGGAAAAAACCAAATCTTAAACACCCTTAACAAGCGAATAAAGAAGAAGCAGAGCAGTCAGTTAGCCAGGTCATATGTTTATTCAGGCAAATTGTGAGGGGGAGACTGATAATACTATGCAGTTACAAAGGTTGAAGCAGGTGAAGCCTGCTACTCATCAGCTGAAAGCCACGTACTTAAGCAGAAGGGCGACACAAACTTGAACTGAATCCAGGATGACGCAGTTATGTTGCAGCTCAACCAGTAATTCACATTTCTTTGATTGGATACTGGGTAGTAACTAGTGTCTAGCGTCTAATCATTCGCTTGGCGCAAACTGAATTCTATCAGTCAAGTTTACCGTGTCGCCACCATACTGGGTGGGTCGTTACCACAACGAACTCTCAATTGTTGTTATTAGGCAGTTGGAGGCGATCAGCAGGAAGCCCCTCCTGACCTACGTTTCGTGCTAGTTGACATTCATCAGTCGTCAAGGCGTATCTGTAACCTCGAAGGAACTCATGTCCCTTCTGAGATTTGGGCCCATGTCACCTAGTACTGCAGTCAAAGGAGTTACCACCTAGCATAGCGGTCACACTGCACACTTCACTAAGCGAATTCAACCTGTACCAGACAAAGGACTAGACACACAACATTAATTAATGCCTAGTGTCCAATCGAAGTATCCAAGACAGTCCTACAGGAGGTCAATCATGAGATTAATATGTTCCACTGTAAAACTGAAGGAAGAACTTCTGCAACTTGAGAAAATTTTGAAAAATAATGGTAGCCCTCAGAAACTCACCAACAAGTAGGGAAGACCTGAAAATCCAAATGTAAAACAAACCACAGCAGATAACAAGCCTAATTTTATCCAGCTTGATTTTAGAGGTGATAATATTGCAGGAATAATCAATATAAGATCGAATACTTCTCTAGCCAGGACAATATCCTACAGCCAAGTTGGTTCCCGTTTGTCGTCTGGTGCAAAGTTTGATAGATACTCCACCTCGCATGTCAATTCTAACTGTGTGTGAAAATTTACACGTATCTGCGGTAGCATTTGTATTGGGATAACAGAAAAAAGGGCATATCTAAGATTCTCTGAACAGGTATCGAAAAACTTACGTCTCAAAGGAACACAAGCTATGAATAGTGCTATCGCTAGACATCTTGTTGACAAGAGCCATGAGGCAGACAGCATGAAATCCTACAAGATTTTTAATAAACGGTATGACTCAACTCTCTTCAAACGTTTAAAGCTTGATTTATGTATTTTGAGAAAGATTCACTCATCAGTTTTTCCTTTCTCTAGTAACTTAGCGTCTAATCTCTCTCCTTCATCTGATTACATAATCTTTTGCTTTGACCCTGCTCTCTTGTTTCTGTGACTTGAGTTGAATTCATCACACTATTGTTCAAGAGATAGTTTACTTATTATCAACTCTGCACCTCATCTTGCTTGCACAACTCAATTTTTAGTGTATCCGACCATTCATTTCGTGTGTTTGCGCTGTGTTTAAACTTTGACCTCCTTACGTCAGCTATATAAGTGTAACTTTTGAGCTTCGTCAAACAAATGATATGTTTCAAAGTAGCAGCTTTGAGATTGCCAATACGCGTTGCTGACAAATTCCAACGCAAGATCTAGGATTTCTTATAGATCCCCTTCAACACGGAGAAGAATTTCTACCAGTGATAACATACACTTACAGTATTATATATTTAAAACGGCTGAAGTTCAGATATGCAGATCATCGGATTTCAAAAAAGGCACCCAGATGAAGTCACAGTCATTACAAAACACTCAACTGTGACTAAAACCAAAGAGTTCTAAGTGACACTCAAACGGCTTAGACAAGACACCCTACTGATATTCTCTTATCCTCTTGTTTCTCTAGCTTATATCAGCCTGCATCTGTCGTCTTCGAAACCGTACCTAAAACTGTAACACCACTAGGCATAACTGAACAATAGAATGTGGCGCTTGCAGAAACTCCTTACAGTTGTCAGGCGGATTATCTATAACACTAACTCCACACATGTTTGACATCATGAGACATAAAGTATCACTTACCCAACAGATGATGACGTGACAGTCCCCGTTCGATTCGATGACCATCGACAAGCGTGTTGTGAGACCGGTGGATTAGCATCAATCAGACATATCAGTCGTAAATTACAACCAGATTTCTGTGATGGTACAAATGGGAATATTCGGACTATTGGTGCATCTACAAATACAAAAGCATTCAATCAATTATGTATGCATCACCATTTTTTTAGATACAAAAAGTATATAACAGACATGCTTAGTGTGTTCAGTACCTCTTCATGCCATTCAATTACACTGTTTATTCGCATCGAAATCTATTTCTGTGATGTAATTTCTAAATATTTAAGAGAGTAGTATTGTAACGACAGAAGACAAGGGCCAAGCAACAGATCGTTTATTGAGAAAATCAAGAGATATTTATAGATTTTTATGAACATTATTGTTAGCGGAGAAGCATCGTCTTCTGATTGGTTGTTTGCTCGCTGAAGGTTATTCTGCACTGCTTGTGACTGTTTCTTAGAAAGTTAAGCCATAAATCTGCGAATCGTATTTTCGCACACGTTAAGTTTGCTGTCATTGGTTGGTGAGTTCCTCAAGTTTAAGCTTTGCTGATGTTTTTTTTCTCATGACCCCGACTCGGGACGTAAACATTGAGGTTAATTGTTGTGTACAATTCTGGTTTGCAGACAGCTCTCACTACAGTATGACTAATTTTCTGCCTACTCCTCTGTGCTGATGCTAGAATTGGCTTGATAAGAGCCGCTGTCATTATTATTCTTTAACGTTCAGAGTGGAATATGAGGCTTTTACAATATACCTCCATTTCATTGGGTTCTCTGTTATCGTCTCAAGCTGGTTGTACGATCACTACCATCTCCTCCTCACACAACTTCCTCTATGTCACACTCAGACTCATGCCCAACACGTCGTTTCCTACTCAGGCTCTGCTCCAAGATGCGCATTGCTCGAGATGTCACTATTCAACGGTCCCTTCAGGGTGTACCCAACCCGCGTCCATTTTCTGTGACATATATATTGGGTAACCGATTTTTTGTTGATCTGTTACCAGGGTTTCTTGTTGCTTATCCATTCCAGCCAGCCATCTGATCTACAGTATTCAGGTGGCGAAGGCCTGGAAGACCAACTTAATCACCAAGAAAATTTCATTCCTATAAGATTCATTTATTAGATAGAAAATTAGTTTTGTGTTAGATGAGCATACGCCGTTTCTAATTACAACTCTTTACTAACATTTCATTAAATTATACAATTTAGTATCTGTAGGCGACATCGAACGCAAATTAAAATCAATGATGACTTCTTTATGTCTTCTGCAAGTGTATTACGTAACTCCAATTACCAATCTTCACCTGTTTAGCTTAAATAACTATAACCAATTGTATTTTTGTTTGACAAACTTAATGTACACATACAAACAAAATAACACATATATATTTGCGATTGTACAGCAAAGAAAATGAATTCCCTGAAAAGAAAGTCTTCGCTGATCTACGTGTTTTGTTTTCATTCTGCGAATGAGCAGAAAACCCAGATTAACGAGGGCTATTTTCAAATGTAATTAATGCGATCAATCCTCTTGTTACGCTTTATTCATACATGATGTTCCTTCGGTATATATCGTCGATATGTGGTCAGTTGATCCAGATCCTGGGTTCAAATCCCATTCCACCTTCTTCAGCTCGAGAAACTTAGTATCACTATTAGACGTCACACAATAAATGTGGCTTATAGCTGGATACCTGATAAACATGTTCCAGATAACTGGCGGTCTAACATAACAGCTGTTGTATATGATGCGTTTTTGACTTTGTAATTAATGAATGAGTTCCGGTGTACGTTTCATCGCAAATTAACACCAATTAGAGAATTACTGAAAACCAGGTAGCATTGGATAGCTGTTTCAACCTAGTTTAAGACGCTTCAGTAGTGTGAAACCACGATATAATCGGGTATCGAAGCAGGGACCTTCAACTTACGAAGACAGTTTGACCACGGATTGATATCAGCCAGGGAACCATTGAAAACCAACTGGGAGTATTGCGCAGCTGTTTCATCTTAGTTTGGGAATCATCGGCAGTACACACTCACTGTCGTTAGAACCCAGCACCTTCCGGTTATAAGGCCAGCGAGCTCGTAGACCATTCAGCCACTGGGACCCGATTCAATGGCCCATGAATTCTTACTTCTACCAATTCGTCATTTGGCGCGACCACCAACCAATGTTACCGGTGGGAAATCCATCCTCACACTTGACTGGTTGAACCTCACTGGTCACTACTTCTCACTAGAACTCCAGGAAACTCCGTCCTGTAGCAAGTCACTAGCGAGCATCAGATTAATTTCCAAGAATTGGTTTGTAAGGATTAGATTTTGTTTTTACGAGTTTGATGGCGCTAAATCACGAATTGGTAGAAGTTAAAATTCACGGGCTGACCACTGAATCGGGTCCCAGTGGCTAAGTGGTATACGAGCTTGCCTTGTAACCGGAAGATGCTGGGTTTGAACCCTGGGTGTGGGTGCCTACTGCCGATGATTCCCAAACGAGAATTTTTTTCATCTACTGTTCATCAGTTACATGTACGTGTGACTCAGTCACAGGTAAATTCTCCAAGACCCAATTCACATTGCTTCTAAAAGCGAGGACATGACGATATTAAAGCACAGAGGTAAAATGCTCACCAACCATGCAGGTGGTTTCGGGGTTCGATCCTCGGCCACGGACGCACCCCTTTACCTCGACTAAGCCAGTAATGAGACTGGTAAAGAGAGAAGGTTGGGCTAGGTGAGGCTAGACACGCCATCGTGTAAAAATAAATAACACTGCCACTGAGACTTCAAGGCTTTGAACTTGAAGACCTATGTTCCACTGGGAACCTAAAGGAATAAAATACGTATTAATCAATAAATAAGAATCCACATATGTTAACACCTATTTGTCACTTCGGTCCAATTAAATTAAACATTGGGACATCTCAAAATAGGATGACGATCATAAAATCAGATATATTACTAATATAAACTATTATTATTATTATTCAAACAACTTACGTCTCACTTGCAATCGTACACGCCAAGTAGCCTTACCCATTGAATTCTCAGCATAACACATATACTCTCCTGCATCATCAGCTTCTACTTGGTCAAATTTAATAACATTACCCTAAAGAAATACACATCAAAAACAAAAAAAACGATTAAATCTACCAAAACTATGCCGAACAATAAATGTCCTCTCGAAACTCCCTCCTAGAAAAATGAAGCATAATTCTTTGTCATAACCAGATGTAGAAAGAAAACGCCTAAAATATTCACAGTCTAGTGAGTTCCACTGATAAGCATTGGTATCAATTCCTTTTCAACTATCACTGAATTCATGTCTTCTACAACTAGCCTAAGAGACAGACAATATCGCATTAAAAAAACAAAGTATTTAAATGATTATGAAGTCTAAAACGTCTGTCATCGAGTCATGAAACAGAAATGCCATTTATTGTTTTTTTTCACCGACATAATTCAGATTTTTATAAATCACCAGGCAGATATTAAGCGATACAGTTGTCCGGAGCAAATCCGCTGACTAAGGGTTCAATGTGGTTACTAGTTGTGTATGTAGGGCAATAACGAAACTTTGAATATTTTACAAACCAATTTAGATAAAATAATACAGCGTATTGTTATTATGTTACTGTTTCCTTTAGTTCCTAGAGGAACATAGGGCTGCAGCCGAACGTCTCCATTGCGTTCGGTTCCCTGCCAACGTTTTCACCTGGTTCTGCGTCTGCCCATATGTTTTCATCTCATCTTCATGTGACCTCCTCCATGTCACCCTCGCACTGACGACCAACTCCCCGATTCCTGTTCGGGTAACACTCGAGAGCCAGTTGTGTGATGGCACTTGATGGTTTTCTCAGAGTATGGTCAATCCACCTCCATTTCTTCCTCCATATTCGTTGCACAATTGATTCCTGCTGGGTTGGTTCGCTCATTGTTAGAGATCCCTGTTGCTGATGTTTTCTGGCCGGCCATCTGATCTTGAGTATTATGGAGTGAATACAGTGGTTGATGAAGGTCTGTAGTTTGTTCGAAGTGCCCTTCGTGATGCACCAAGTCTCTGATCCGTATAGTAAGTAGCGCTGACTTCACATTGGAGTTGAAAATTCGGATCTTATTTTCATTTTCATGCTGAGTGCTGTTGATCTGCACACAGACTTGAGAGAAGTGAAAGCTTGCCTTGCTTTCCCGATCATCGCTTTGATATCCTTGTCAGTTCCATCTATAGTTGAAACGATGCCTCCCAGGTAGGTAGGTAAAGAGGTTACTTCCTCCAGATTTCTCCCATTTATGCTGATTATTGTCTGTTGTTGTCGCTGTTGGCCAAGAGACATTCAAGAAGAACACACGCATAACACTACCGCAGACAGAACCAGGGACACTCAAGTTTCAGGGCGAGTTTGTTGACTCTTCAGCCCCTGAGATGGAGTCCAATGAGCCATGAATTCTAACTTCTGCCTATTCGCGATATGTAGCGCATCCGCAGCTAATGTCGTTGAAGCGCGTATATGTCCACACACACACACACACACACACAGCATGGTGGACCCCACCAGTCACGATTTCTCACTAGTGAGATGTTCAGGCAACTTCATCCTGTAGTCAATTACTAGTGAACAATAGGTTAGTTTTCAAGTGTTAGTTTTCAGGGTATGAGAACAGATACTCGGCAATAACACTGGCTGGATTCCATGCCAGTGTCTGAATGACCAAAGAGCTCTACCTCGTAACCTGAATGTCCTGGGCTCGACCCTTATTGTGGTCGTGAACACGTGCTACTAAAGAGTCCCAAACTAGGATGAAACAGCTATCCAATGCTCCCCGCTTTTCATTGGTTCCCCAAATGATATTAATCCGTGGCCACACTCGAAGTCAAGCAAACTCCTGTAAAGCAAGATTTGATAATATCGGTGAGGAACATTATGAATCACAAACTGATTAGGAATAAAGTTCAATAGACGACATCAGTAAATAAATGATAGGAATTCATGTATTCAGAAATGTGAATATATGAGTTTTTCAGGTAATACATGTATATAAATATGATTATTTTAAAGTTAGAAGATGAAATCCTCTCAAGAAGAATTTTCTCCACTGAAATCTCCGTTAAAAATGGAAACTCATTGACGTAATAGTTCAGACAGAAATGACGACGTGCATGTCTCAGATTCTTTTTTCTAATTTATTCATTTATTCGGTATAACATTTTGTCTTGTTATAATGCCTCTGGTTATTTCATTGTAATTTGATGAAATAAGCAAAGTCGAATGAAATTTTTTTTTAAATACTAAAATGACGTTAGGTACTCATAAATGTCCGTAGCAGTTTTTCATGTTTTAAATTTTGCTTACTTATAAGTAGTCAAAAGTATTAAGATATAAAAACAACGCCGCGAATATTCGGTGGATGGTGACTACAAGTGAAATCCAAGATGCATACTTCGTACCACTTGATACTTATCAGCTGGATGGACCTGTATCCTACTGTGGTGTTCTTATTGACACTTGGACCCAACACCCATCCCTTCGAAAATCTAAAGCACTATACACTATGAGTATTGGGTTCGAGTCTCAGTGAGAACACCATTACCCAATGAAGATTGCAGGTACATCCAGCCGACGAGGCTCATATCACATCCTGGATTCAACTGCTAGTCAAAACACACTAAACAATATAAGTTTATTCTCCGTACATCATCGAAGCGTTCGTACTGGGAGACGACGTATCAAAAGGCACTGAAGATTTCGGTCAAATATAATCAACTAACAGGAAACGTGTACCTTAACTTCATCGACTTCGAAAAGGCCTTCGACAGACAGAGATGACCGAGAAGTAATTTGGAAACTACGTCAACACTACGGCGTGCAGTACTCAAGTCTTTATCAACTTCATTCAACATAAATATGACAATTCCACGTGTCAGGTGATCTACCACGGAAAAGTAAGTCAGGCGTTCGAAGTGAATACAGGGGTAAGACAAGCTGGTTGCCTATTATCACCGATAATGTTCTCAATTGTGACAGACTGACTGGATTATGTGTGAGACTCTGCACAGGGGGTGTGAGGACAGGGATACATTGTAGTGACGGATGAGAAGACTCTAGAAGATCTTGATTTCACCTGTGGATGATTCACGTTTAATGTCACTCACACTCGAAGAATTGCAGGAGAAAGCAAAAAACTGGCAGGGGATGCAGGCAGTGAAGACAGGGGTCCAAGTGAACATAGAAAGGACAGAGGTGATTAAGATAACCAACCAACAGCAACAACCACCAGCACCGATCACCATCAACGGAAGAAATTTAACAGAGGTTACTTCCTTCACTTATCTCACCATGAAGCAAGTTTACAACCACAGGCAGTCGAAACGGATGAAGATATCCAAGGCAGCCAGCCAGAATCGAAAAAGGCGAGATACGCCTTCAACAACCTGAAACCAGTTTGTAAATCTTCTTCACTGCACTAACTCAGCATGAAGAACGAGATTCAGATTCTGGTCAACAGAAATGTGAAACCAGTCAGTTCTTCTACACGGGTCAGGAACTTGCAATGCATGCCATGAAGAAGTTCCCCAACAAGTTACCGCAGACTTTTGTCAACAGATGCCTTCACTGAATACATACTGAAGATCAGTTGGCCAGCTGGCGGGCCAGAAAGAATTAACAACAAGAAACTCTGGCAATAAACCAACCAAGAGCCAATCGGTTAGCAAATATGTAGGAGAAATGACGTCGCGCGCCAGGCCCCCGAGTGGAATCCAAGTGGGAAACGACGAGTGGATCGTCAGTGAGAAGTTGACATGGGGGAGATCGTGAGAGGAGGAGGAGATGAGTGATTCTGGGTGACCGTGCACCCGACTAAAGAGGACAACGGAGAATAGAACAAAGTGGAGATATGTTGTTGAAGCTGTATGACCCATTTGGAACCCAAAGGAACAAAAATAATAATAATAGGCATAACAGTGAAGATCTAAATATGAGATTAGTTACAATAAACACGATAAAATAAAGTCAAAATAATTCATCTAAAGACATACTTTCTCCATTCTTCCAGGATTCAGGTAAAAACAAAAATTTTAATCAGGCAGATACAACCCTTATACTCGTGATAGTTGCAGAAGAATAAGCAGCTGTTCAAAGAATGAAGTTTGTAGTTGATAACGTCTGTTTCGCCTTAATAATCTGGAGTTCATTGATTTGAAATCTGCTGCGACTCAGATTTTCATCTCACCATAAGACCATCACCATTTTTACTTTCTTTAACATAACAGATTGTTCAACAGCTGAAGAGAAAATAGATTTCCTACACGACCGTTTTCTGCTGTCGTGATACGGTGATTGGGCTTGTAATACGCCGTGACTTAAAAATCTACCCTAGCTTAAACTAATGTTACCACAGATTCTACCGTTCCAGAAAGGTCATCTGCCCAACGGTTGGACCAAAAGAAGTTCTCATCATGGTGTAAGTCGTCTACAATATGTTGGAGGTCTCTGGACGAAATCGCACTGTTAGCGAATGGGGGGCGTTACATCAGTCAGGTGTTTCCTTAAGATGAGTAGCAAGCCAGCTAAGCCGATTCTCCGCTCTGAGAGGAGAGGTTAGAAAATACTGACAGAGGAAATAGTACACCTCGACTAATTCAAGTGTTGGTTTGTAGAGATTTGATTGGTTTCAGGATTTTCATCATGAGCTGACATTGGTTAGAGAACCATTGAAAAACTGGGAGTAATGGACAGCTGTTTCGTCCTAGTTTGGGACTCTTCATCAGTACGCACCCACCGGGATTCGAACCCAGGACCATCTGGTTACAAGGCGAGCTCGTATACCATTAAGCCACTGAGGCCCGATCCAATGGTCCATGAATTCTAACTTCTGCCAATTCACGACACAGCGCGACCGCTAGCCAATGTCTTCGGCGAGTATTTGTCCTCACGCCCGACCTGCTGCACCCTACTGGTCATGACTTCTCACTAGAACCTCAGGCAACTACCTGCCTGAAACCTGGTGGGTGCGTACTGATGAAGAGTCCCAAACTAGGACGAAACAGCTGTCCAGTACTCCCAGGTTTTCCAATGGTTCTCTGACTAATGTCAGCTCATGATGAAAATCCTAAAACCTCGACTAATCTTGCAGCGGTTCGTGGCCGGTGGTAATATCTCAATATAGGCACAACTCCGAAAGCCACTGAAAACAGGCCGTGTGTCGCCGACCTGAAGCAGTCGTCCCTTATTCTCTGTGGTCAGACAACACTAGTGCTCTTTCTCTTTCAGTTACTCCTAGAAGTCAGTCAGTACAGATTTTCCGAGTGTTTTAATAGTCTTTTACCTGAAATGAACATATTTTAAAAAAACACATTCGTACTTGTTTTAACCACTTACACTTTTGACAGAGCCAAAATTACGTATTATACTGCTTGCACCAGCTGTACGTCTCCAGTATATGAATGGCGGTGGGATTCCATCAGCATTACATTGCAGTTCAACTGAATCGCCAGCGTCAGCATCTGTATCATAGGATGACATATGTCGAACTATGTTCGGCTTCGCTGAAAACAATAAGCATGAAATGGTTTGATTTGTAAATTAAAACTTTTAGTTAAGTCTAAAGTATTAGAATACAGTGAATTGTTTCTGCATACATGAAACAAGGCGAACAAAACCAATTACTAATGTAAATATAGTCTGTCTGAGTGAAGTCTGTTTTATGTTTTCACCACGGATGTCACACAATCTCTCTCCCTCTGTCTTTTACTTCACAGACAGAAGCAACAAACGATTACTACTGTTAACATACTGGGCTTCAATTCCAAAAGCATTAACTAAGAGCTTTACTGTTTGACTTAACTTCTTTAACTGTGGGCTAGGATATCCTATCAAGGCAACTAAATCTGAAAATAGTATTAATAGAACAGACAGTTTCAGATGCAACTTACTCCATCATCAATTACACCTAACGAGTATACAGAAAAAGACCACAAGATGGGCTTCTGTGTATCACGAATCTTTTTACTTTTAATAGTGTAGAACAGATGAGAACAAAACATTGCAAATCCAACCAAGCTACAATCAAGTCGAACTGTACGCTTTGTGCTCCAGAAACTAATGCAATAACGACACCTGTAAAGTCATCAAAACTTGCTATAAAATGTTTAGATATACGAAATGCGAGACGTGTAATCTCAATAACGTGGTAATATGAAGTTCATTGAATAATCCCTCCTTGACAAATACAGTGTACATCTGGAGTTTAGGCTACGAATGATTGCTTCTGAGTTCAATATATGTCACTGGCAGTTTAAGCTGTGATGTGTAATCTGGAGTAAAGATCCAAAGTAGCAGATATACAACTCTATGAAATAGGATCGTTAGCACGAGATTCAGTAAGGCAAGTTGGATGGTAAGATAGTTTTGCTGGTAAAACCAGGTAAAGAAACACTTAATATCAACGGAGAAGACTATTTGAGTCCAGAGAATACTTCAGCTTTTATGAACCTGTGTATGCGCTCAACAATTTCTTCAACGTATGGAAGCCAATTTGCTTCTTCTACGCCTGAAAAGTAAAGACAGTCCGTTTTACGCTACTACAGATTCCAAGCAACTTCTCCTTAGGGTGATTAACACACCACCTGTTTTACGGTAATAGCATTCTGGTTACATCCTAACAAAAACTGTGTGAATAGGCACAAGCCACCAAAATAGGAGCTAAATTTTACAATTTTAAAATCTACGCTTATAAATCCTTCCTCTGAAGACTATGATGTCAGCATAACTGACTATCTAATCATCCGGAAGAAAGTTCCTACTACTATTCCATCTTCCCCATTGGTGCAACCGTGACTTAAGAACTTGCCAGTGTGTGTAGCTTACACTACGGTGATAAAAACTTTTCATCCTATCAACATTTTTCGACTGGTGGTTCCCTTCATTCCAGTCAGCAGAACTAACTGGATCTAGACGATATGTTAGCTTGGCCACAACGATGAGATTGTGGCTGTCACGCTGGTATAGCCGTCACTTCTATCTTCAACGTATTTACAGCTGTCAAGTAGACAGTAAAATAAATCGTATATCACAGCTTTCTAATTGACATTCAGGTAGTCTGTTTTTCTCAAGAAAATATCGCTACGCATAAAAGACACGTGAGCGGACGACTGTCGTACATAAAGCGCGAGAGATAAGTAATGTTCAAACGTCTCACCAGTAAAATAACTTACCAAAAACGCGTAAAATCCTGTGAACTCTTGCTGACTCCACAGATCCAGTATACTGACATTCACAGGTGTATTTACCTTCATAGGACTTATCCAACGACATAATTTCCAAGCTTGAAACAAAAATGAAAAGATTCATGTTTGAAAATTTCCAAATTCTCATCATTCATTTGCAAAGTGAGCCCAAATGAAAGGTCGCATAAGAAGAGTTTTCACACTTTGAAACAGCACAAAAGTGAAAACTCGTTAGAAACGTAATGTCGTTCCTTGAACAAGTATGTTTGATAGGATTAATAGCAATCAACTAAAATTGCTGAAATTATGAAAAAAATATGAGCAAATACACTCGCATATTTTTCACGATGTTTAACTGCTTCATCGAATTTTCAACAATTGATTCTCACCGTCTCAGTGACTTCAAACAAGTAGTCGATACTGGATTAATGGGCTCTAATAAACTTTACAGATCGGTAGATTTCTTGGTCCAATCACTTATTATATTTTCGCATCACGAAGTTCTTTCGAAAGGCATCTCTTGTATATAAAGAAAGAGTCCTTTGATATGTTTCAGCTACTTCAATTGATGAATTTACACTAGCTTAATAAGTGGTTCGTCCCTTCACTTTTAGTCTTTACTTTAGCGACTATGGCTCAATCACAAGTAAACGACACCACATATGCATGTGTGCTACTGAACCTATCCCTTCCTAAGCCTCACGCGTCGTGCAGCCATATTTAACGATCATGGTGGAGAGCAGTGCTGAACAAGAAACTACAGTCAAAAACATTCCTTATAAATTAGCCCATGTTTTACAAAAGCTTATGGAAACAGTAGTAAGAACAGTTGCTAAGATAGCCTGTAAATGACAATAAAACTCACCGGAGAGAATCTTGTTGCTTGCCCTGACCAACTTCCCACCTCGACATATCACGTGACATAAGACCATCATTGATCACTTCAGAAACTTCATCACCTGACAAGCTATCTCTCCTCCAGAATATCTGTAGATTAAGTAAACAAGGATCGAAGATAAAGTTACCCTTGCACCACGAGGCATATTAAATACGTTGCACTGTATGACAACTTTCTCTCCAACTAACCCATTGATAAGAACAGTTTTGTTCTCCAGGTATACAACTCTTCCCGTATGTGCATCCGGAGTTTCATCATAAATTGACACTTCAGGCGTAACAACCTGCTCACAATGCACTAAAAAGTGTCAAAGATTGGCAATGAACTAACCATAGGAAAAAATAAAGATGGTTATTAGGATAAATCTAAGAATATATGCATCGTATGAAACCGGAAAACACATTAAGTAATCCCGTCCAAATTCTGAAACACATTTTGAGTTCATTTTAAATCTGATGACTGATTTTAGTGAAATAATGGAAACAATAGTTATTATTTTCCATCTATGGATTATATTCAGAATCTCATGAAAATTCGTATTCGTAGGAATGCAAAAGGTAATCAATGCTTTGTGCTCTAGTGGATTAAAACAAAAACCAAAAGTGTTACATACCTACCACACGTTAGAAAAGTCCCCTTAGTAACTTATTACTTCTCATCGGAAGGAAAGTAAATCATTCTAGAGTTCCCAGTAATTACACTCAGAGATTAGACTGCTACTGAACATCCCACATCAGACGCACCATTAGAAATAGCTTGACAGTTTTTTAAGTGTCTACTCCCAATCTTCCATTTAGCAGTTTGAATATTTTCAGAACAAACATATTGATGTCAACAGCAAACAGAGAAGAAACATTCAGTAAATGGGACAGCTAACATATCAGCTTTCGCTACTTACCATCTGACAGGGCTTTCAAGTAGTCAAAACTATCTGTTGCACAGATTTGTGCAGGGAATAAATAAACGTAACCGAGATGAATAGAAAACAAATAATTGATAATTATGTATCAAATTAAGCCTATATCCTGAGGACAAACTCGGCACAGTGGTTAGGACTCTCGCCGACCATGCACATGGTCCGGGGTTCGATCCCCTGCCGACCCACACCCGATATCAATGGTCGGCCTGCGAAATTTGGGCTACCGATATCCATGCTGCAAAGTCCATAATTGTACTGAAAACACGGTGTGGCATCAAGCTGTAACCAAAAATAAATAAAATAACAATAATGAAGGTATTATTAAAAACTGACGTAAGATATAACTTGCATCGTCACGCTTCCAAACAGAGCATTCAGTGCCCCTTTCACTCCTAAGTGAATTTGTGTATAGAAACTAGTTTTCTCAAGTGTTTTTTTTTGCTAGTATTGATTCCTGAGTTCCCTTAGTCTTTCTGGTCGCCTTTTATTTTAAACATCCGTCCTCCATCCAGAGGTTAGCACACCTCCCGATGGACGACTAAACAAGCTGGCTGGGAATCTCAAGGCAGAAAGAACGGAGGTTTCATATAACTGAAGGGCCTTAGCGTAAGTCCTAATGCATTCCACTGTCAACATGCTATCTCACTAATTAGTCGCTCGCAACTTATGTATCTCATCCTTTTTAGTTTTAAGGTTGATAGATGGAAGTCAAAATTTAGAAGGCTTAAAATTCTTGACTTTCTGGTCAGAAGATAACAAAGGGAGGAAGTGAGTATAACTGCCCCAGAAGTCTTCCTCTCTCGGATAAACAATTACGCTTAACATAATATCAGTAAAAGAAGCGGTTTGCAAGCGAACATCAGGCAAATTCAAAAACACTGATTATCAAACTCAGCAGCTTATTGACGCCAAAGGATCTTCAGGTGAATACCTAGTCATTAGGAACGTTTGTTGCGTGAGGCCACGTGTTGCTGTGATATCAATTTTCTCACAACACTTTGCCACAACAATTCCCAGAGAAAACAACCCTTGCCTCAATGCATAGGTATTCTTTCTCAAATAATGCAACAATGTATCTCATCTCATATGGATATGTCTGATATTGTTTTGTTCATTGATATGAGTAATTTAACTAAGCAGCTTTTATTTTCCTTCTTGACATGTTGACTGCTAACTACTCAATGAAGTGAACCTTTGTAGTACGCTTTGAGGTCATTAACTGTATTCCCTGATAACGTCAACAGTGATTGTTTTCCTCAGGTTATTTTCTTACTTATATCAACAAGGGTCGTATCACTGACCTATTAAGTCCTGTTAAGTCCATCCAACTTAATGAATGTAACTCACACTGACGTGTTAGCTAGGTGAAGACTGATTTGAAAACAACACTTCTAGAAGACCTTCAGCATTCTCCTTGTTATCCCTACTTGAGATTTTTTAATTTCTTCATTGTTCGGTGGCTACGTCCATAGATACGAAGGGATAACTAACACATTATGTAGATGTCAGTTTATGCTAGGGGATGTTGGTGCCTGTTTGGCACCAACATTTTTGGTATGCTAATTTGCTAGGCTGCATTTCAATCTGAAGAAAGTGGAAAGATCCTTTGAGGTCACGTTGCTAGCAATCCAAGTGACTAAAGACGGACATTCACTCAAGACCAAAACCTAATAAATGAAGGGCGAAACTACAGAGGACATATTACTGCAGCCATCAGAGGAAAGTCAGACACATTAAGCGGCATCAACGAGGATATCTGTGTAGAAGAACACTCAAACTCTCTAAAACTGATGTTGAAGGAAACGTGTACAGTCGTCTTAGAAAGGAAAAAGAGGGAAGGTAATTTCTTTCCAGGACACGTGGAAGCTAACAGAGGAATGAGTATTAGTGAAGCAGAACTTGAACCGGCGTAAAGATGGACAACGAAGGGAGAGACCGGATTCAGTGTACAAGACACTGAAAAAGATGTGAAAGAAAGCGCGAAGAAAAACAGAAGACGATCCTGCAACACGCTGGAAACTAAAGCAGAACAAGTTTCAGTGAAAGAGACCTCGGCATGTGATACCACATAACTAGGCTGATACCCGGAGAGATAGAAATACAGATGGTCCACTAAAATATGGTGAAGGTAGCCCGATTAATAAATTGAAACAGAAAAGGAAAACTGAGCTGGTTGCTTCAAAGGACTCCTGAACCGGTCACCATCTACTTAGCTTCCAGAAATACCGTCGAAAGCCGCAGAACTGCCAGAAACCATCAACCCCCTGATGGAAGAAATGTTAAATGCAACCAAGCTACTGAAAGCCGAGGAGGAAAAAGGACCAATGGGATTCCTCTAGGAGCACTGAACTTATCCCGTATGCTCAAAGTCATTGGATGGATGAGGCACTTGAAGGTCATTTTCCTATAACCATCAAACGTAAGGTCTACAGGTCTCAACTCTAAACACTCACACACAACGACAACCGAATAAATTCATGCTTAAAATATCTTAAGATACAAAAACCTATTGCGTTAATGAGGATAACGATGCCATATATTGCAGCCCGGACATTCACTCGTGATATTACACCTGTACAGCACCAATGTAGTGCCGACTGTTGAAGCCATCGTCAAGGCTGAAGGTGCATTAGTGAACTTTAGTATGAAAAACTCGTCGTTTTTATCACTTATATTGATATCAGTTTGCTCTCAAAACATTGGAAGCTCGCAGCATTTCTGGCAATCTACTATAATGGCGCATCTTCCTTAATCAAACTCGACTTCCAACTTCAAGCATCAGCAGCGCTCTACCCAACGCCACCTGAATCCAAAGTGATGTTATCAATGAGTCCCCGTTTTCTCCTCACCAAAATGCCCCACATGATAAAACCAGTCTTATTTATGAAATAAAATCAAATTGTGATCACACTGGGAGATAGTGTTAGTCATGGAAAATGAAGACTGACGTGGAGAAATGTTACAATTATTTTCCTATAATCTCCTCACCACCTGCCCTCGTATCCAGTTACATCTCTGATTTTAAATCTTGCGACTATTTTCCACTGAGCAACACGGAGGAGATCGTGTACATGGGAGATGTGGACTTATGGACAATAGTGGACCCAGCTAGAGGGAAGTGAAGAGAACAGGATCAAAAGGAGATGTGCTGTTGACGCCCTATGTCAAACCTGGTTTCCACATCCAGGAGATTACTTGCATTTACAGCACATTTTTTATACGCGAAAAGTTCAAAACAATGTCATATAAAAATCATGCACGCATTCCAGAATTTTTGGGAACCAGCATAGATGATCCGTACAGCTCTCGAAGCTCAAAGTCATTGGATGGATGAGGCACTTGAAGGTCATTTTCCTATAACCATCAAACGTAAGGTGTACAGGTCTCAACTCTAAACACTCACACACAACGACAACCGAATAAATTCATGCTTAAAATATCTTAAGATACAAAAACCTATTGCGTTAATGAGGATAACGATGCCATATATTGCAGCCCGGACATTCACTCGTGATATTACACCTGTACAGCACCAATGTAGTGCCGACTGTTGAAGCCATCGTCAAGGCTGAAGGTGCATTAGTGAACTTTAGTATGAAAAACTCGTCGTTTTTATCACTTATATTGATATCAGTTTGCTCTCAAAACATTGGAAGCTCGCAGCATTTCTGGCAATCTACTATAATGGCGCATCTTCCTTAATCAAACTCGACTTCCAACTTCAAGCATCAGCAGCGCTCTACCCAACGCCACCTGAATCCAAAGTGATGTTATCAATGAGTCCCCGTTTTCTCCTCACCAAAATGCCCCACATGATAAAACCAGTCTTATTTATGAAATAAAATCAAATTGTGATCACACTGGGAGATAGTGTTAGTCATGGAAAATGAAGACTGACGTGGAGAAATGTTACAATTATTTTCCTATAATCTCCTCACCACCTGCCCTCGTATCCAGTTACATCTCTGATTTTAAATCTTGCGACTATTTTCCACTGAGCAACACGGAGGAGATCGTGTACATGGGAGATGTGGACTTATGGACAATAGTGGACCCAGCTAGAGGGAAGTGAAGAGAACAGGATCAAAAGGAGATGTGCTGTTGACGCCCTATGTCAAACCTGGTTTCCACATCCAGGAGATTACTTGCATTTACAGCACATTTTTTATACGCGAAAAGTTCAAAACAATGTCATATAAAAATCATGCACGCATTCCAGAATTTTTGGGAACCAGCATAGATGATCCGTACAGCTCTCGAAGCTCAAAGTCATTGGATGGATGAGGCACTTGAAGGTCATTTTCCTATAACCATCAAACGTAAGGTGTACAGGTCTCAACTCTAAACACTCACACACAACGACAACCGAATAAATTCATGCTTAAAATATCTTAAGATACAAAAACCTATTGCGTTAATGAGGATAACGATGCCATATATTGCAGCCCGGACATTCACTCGTGATATTACACCTGTACAGCACCAATGTAGTGCCGACTGTTGAAGCCATCGTCAAGGCTGAAGGTGCATTAGTGAACTTTAGTATGAAAAACTCGTCGTTTTTATCACTTATATTGATATCAGTTTGCTCTCAAAACATTGGAAGCTCGCAGCATTTCTGGCAATCTACTATAATGGCGCATCTTCCTTAATCAAACTCGACTTCCAACTTCAAGCATCAGCAGCGCTCTACCCAACGCCACCTGAATCCAAAGTGATGTTATCAATGAGTCCCCGTTTTCTCCTCACCAAAATGCCCCACATGATAAAACCAGTCTTATTTATGAAATAAAATCAAATTGTGATCACACTGGGAGATAGTGTTAGTCATGGAAAATGAAGACTGACGTGGAGAAATGTTACAATTATTTTCCTATAATCTCCTCACCACCTGCCCTCGTATCCAGTTACATCTCTGATTTTAAATCTTGCGACTATTTTCCACTGAGCAACACGGAGGAGATCGTGTACATGGGAGATGTGGACTTATGGACAATAGTGGACCCAGCTAGAGGGAAGTGAAGAGAACAGGATCAAAAGGAGATGTGCTGTTGACGCCCTATGTCAAACCTGGTTTCCACATCCAGGAGATTACTTGCATTTACAGCACATTTTTTATACGCGAAAAGTTCAAAACAATGTCATATAAAAATCATGCACGCATTCCAGAATTTTTGGGAACCAGCATAGATGATCCGTACAGCTCTCGAAGCACAGCTCTTAATGTTGAACCCAGAAGCAACTCAATCTTATCCCCCCACTCAGAGTTCTCAAAAGAACAGAATGCTGTCCTAATGACAAGCTTTACTCTACTTCCTTATCCTATAATTTAGGTAAAACAAGTCTTCTTTCTCCCCAGTTGACTGCCGGAGTTGATTTCGTTCTATCTTCCTTACCGTTGGGTATACGCTAAGAGAGAATTTCTCCCCAATCTAAGTGAAAAGCAGCACCACGATAAGATCATTCATTTCTTTAGTAAATCGGTGATTCTTCGAGAAGTCTTAACATCGTTTGCCACGAACTCAAGATTCAAGACATCATTTCTAACCCCTTTGGCTTGCGTAGCTCAGTGGTTCTGTTTAATCTGCATGCTAACAACAACCAGAATGATCATATTTATTCGGTACAATCAGTGTTGCACTAATTCTATTCTAAGTTTCTTTTTCAGTTTGTTCATCAATTTGCCTGATATATCTGATCTCCAAATTTCCGTGATCTTCTTGTCTGAACCTGGATTGGGATGCACAGTCTAACTGCCTCAACATGGTCTTCGCAACAAATGTGGATGAACTGTAGTCTTTGCGGCCGCAACATCTTGATTGTTTGCTAACCATCAACGCTCTTTAGCAATATTATTATTTTAAAAACACATCACCTGCTTCATCTCCTCTTCACTTCCTCAGTTATCCATTTGCATGTAACCCTAGACATTGGTAATCATACTCATGTATTCTCAACAGTTTAACTACTGAACTTTAAATGAAGTAACAGCCAACTAAACCCCCTGTGTATCTTTGTACTTCTTCTGTTTTCCTAAAGAAAGTTCTGGTCAACACCACAACAAATGTTACTGAGTGAACACTTGTTGCATAACACACGCGGCAACAAATTAATGTATAGCAGAAGCATCTCTCCAGGACCTATAAATTAAAAAGCACTTGAGCGGGTGGTGATGGTTGATCAACAGATCTGATGGATAGGCGCCAAAGTCTATGTGTCAAAACGACATTTCTCTTTATCCCACATAATTCTCCCACCCCAACCTTGAGGTATGATAACTGTTTTCATATCTCCGTGTTTCCCACAGACATGCAACTATCCTTTCTTTAACACGATGTGTTTTAATGCGTAAACATGAAATTTCATAGCTTTGAACTGACCTTTTTGTATAAAATAAATAATGTAGTTATTAGGAGCACTACTTATATTTCTAGGGATCCAAATAATTAGGCCGCTTGAACGACTCTGAAGTCATCTCTGGTTTCAACCAGAAATAACACTCATGATTGCTGTGTGACCACCAGTCCTGCTGGACGTGAGCTTTGGCCTCACTACCTGCTGACTTTTAAGCTTCATCCACCTAACCTGATGGCCAGGCTGATCTTAACAACGTCCTAAGTAATGAGGGGAGAACATGAAACCCACGGCTGTTCTGGGACGTATTTATTGAAGATGGCATGGAGAGGATACAGAGACACCCGACCACATTACGACGCAGCAGCCTTGATTCTGTTCTTCGAAAGCCCAACTGCCCGAGAAATTATCAAACCGGCGAAGATGAAAAAGTTGATCATCGAAAGCTAAATGGATGAGATTTAACTGAATCGATGAACTCCTTCGACGCACTACATATTTTAGTAACACAGAGGTTAGTGACAGAGAAACTCCATGTAAACTGTTACTTAATTTCAAGGTCAAGGTTTAGGATGTCCTGTTTAAAAGCAGCAATCTTGGCTTTATTAACAACCCGCAGCATGGCGGTGGACTTTCGCCACTCCGGTTTGGCCTTCGTTTTCGGTGTAAGATTGGATGCAACTCCTGCATCAACCAAGAAGTCCATACCTGATATCGTGACTATCTAGGCACTCTTTCTCAGTAGTGGCTACCTGCTGTGATAATCGTTCCCCTATCGCCAGTGAAGCACTTTAGGGCAAAAGCATTATTGTGTCTTTCGTAAAACCACCGGCGGTGCCAAAAGAACTGCCCTCTTGATCTGGTTTGTCAGGGCATACTTCTTAACCTAAAATTTTCTCTGATAGACAAACCGCTTCAATCACCCTGTGTTTGTTTTACTTGCGCTAGTGTTTCTGTCAGTGATCTAATGTTGGCCACGGGTCCTAAGATTAAAACTACCCTTACTTGCACTCTAACGGTTCATCTGTGATGTGGTTCTTTTCCTCTACATCGACCGATCTACGACGAGTGCTAACTGTTCGAGAGAGGAGTTAGGGTCCCGGATGTGCACTGCCTATTAAAGAAACCGTGAGATGGCTCACATCTGGCCTTGTTTTAGTCAAGACTTATTCAATGTGTTGTATCCAACACGTCGCTGAAAGTGGCGCAAGAACTACGACGCAGATATTTATAACATGTTGTCAGCTTGAAGCAACCATCATTTGGGTTTTCAAACATCGAGGGGATTATCGTGAACGAACCAATTTCACCATTTCAGTAACGGACTTTTCTATCAAAATATTTAACGAAAGATAATGGGACCAAAGTGCATGTCCAGAAGGATAGATGACCACACAACAGCGTTATTTCCAATCGAGCCCAGCCTGAAAACAAGCTTCAAAGAGTCTAAACAGGGAAAATAACTAAATCCTTTGAACCAGTATTCTTCGCCTTCATTTAGAAATTTTCTTAACTTATTTGGTGAAGTTTGAAATTTGTTGTGACGCCTATGTTCTAGTACAAATCACACATTCCCCTGATAATAAACTAATACAATTCCTGTTAATTCACCGAACAGTGCTACAAGATTCACAGGGTGAAATGAACAGGAGTCAGCCATTATAGAAGAATAAGTGAGTTCCAAGAAGTTATAAGTTTTACACAAGCTCTCCAATAATATACATATTCCTGGATATTGGAAAACAAAAAATCGAAATTTCTAATCAGGTTCGCTATAATTAAAACTCCTGCTGATGTCTTTCTAGCACATCCTGATAATGTTTCTGAATTAAGCTTACATTACAGATTGCTGACCACGCCTAAATAGTCAAGTAAATTCATGCATAGCACATAACGACCCTAAAATAGCTCACCAGACTCACTACACTGTAAACCCGAATCCAAAGTTCTCAATATACCCAGTGGATAGTAAAATATCGATAAAATACATCAATATTCGTTTTCAGTTTCCATCCCAAAAATATGCTTTAAATCATCCAATAAATGGCCTTCAAAAAACAACACGATAACGAATTTGAGAGGCAGTGTGATACATATTCGCTCACAGAATCGTATTAATAGTAAAGGAATAACTTTAAAGTATTTACAAAGACAGAGTGAGTTTTATTTGAATAATTATTGTGTGAATATTTGAATAATGATGATTTTGGGGAGATTTCAACGGACAAGTCGACATTTAGTGCTAGTAAATACAAAATCTAATTCATGAAGATTTTTTGATGGCGAAAACTGTATGTACCTTTGTAAACCAGTAGACAACCGAAAATATTACTTATCTGAAGAGTTATTTCCACTATTTTCAAGCAAAGAAAATAATAGTTAAGTAGAGTTTTAGTTTTATTAATAGTCTTCGAATCTGGGTCCATTTGTGTTGATAGATTTCACTAAAGCTTTGCGCATGGTTTGTAGGAAATCATATGTGACTTATTTCTGCAGATTTTCGACAGATTACGTACAGCACATAGAGTACTCAGTATTTGATTTTATTGTTCACTGTTTTTATTAATTGAAGCTTATCGACAAAGCCTATATTCCGACTAAATGTCAGGCTAACACAAAACTTAAAATCCACTGGTAAAAAATTTTGCTGAAGATACTTTGATAATTTCGGTCAAGAATCCAGCAATTTTCATATGCTTCTGACATTTCTTTCGGTAATTCTTCTGCATGATGTTTCTTCAGTGCTTAGTAATAGGCGTACATTTTGAAAAAGTTTTTGTCTTTAAAATTTTCGAATAGTTTCATTTTATTTGGAAAAATAACTAAGTTCAATGAAATAAATCTTAATTCGGGTATAGACTGTTTAGGTCCGTAATAGACCACTTAGTTCATACACTTCTCTACCACCACTCATCTTCAAGCAAAATGAAACGGAAACATTTTCAATTAGCCTGTCAAAGTAAATTAGGTAAAGTTAAGGTGATCGTATCTTTATTATTTGTAGCTCAAACTAATGACACAATAGTATTCTATCCCTTTTTACAGAACTTCAAGAAGTTATAAAACACATAAAATCTCTCCGAAGATCTTATTGACGCATAGACATCGCAATAATCTTATTGTCGTTATTATTATTCTCGGTTCCGAGTGAAAAATTAGGCCTCACAGACACATCTCCACTTTTCCGCCTTCTGTGCAGTATTGTTTATCTGGCTTCATGATCACTCAAAATCTTTCATTTCCTTCTCACATCAGCTCCGTGTCACCCTCCAACCAAAGTCCAACTAGTCTTTACCCATTCAGGTTCCACTTGAGGTACTGACACATGATGTCACCCACTAGTCCCTCTAGCATTTGCTGTCCAGTATATCTCCATTTCCTACTGGATATTTTATGGACGACAGTTTCTTGGTTTGTTCGTTACCAGCGTTCCTCGTCGCTTGTCCTTTCTCGTTATCTGATCTTGCGTATAGACATGGCGAAAGAGACTGTTGACGACAGTCCATAGCAGGCTATGGGAAATGATTTTTGTGGCGCGCGCCAAGTCTTTAAGCCATAAAGAGGCACTAACTTGGTACCAGAGCTCAAAATCTGAATCTTGTCCTTTATGCTGAGTACAGGTTAATGAATAATTGTCTTTCTTTTCCATGCCCACCTCTGACATCTTAATATGTGCCACCCGAATTTGAAAGAATGCTGTATAGATAAGTGAAACAGCTGACTTCCCTCAGACTTATCCTTTAAGCTTTCCACTGTTTTATTATGTGTTACTCATCATTGTACCTATCGTATCACTGTTCATCATTTGACAGATCTACATAGTGATATGTATATAGATATTTACTGTTGGAAATAAGTTAGAAGATCTGTTAATGATAAATGAACTACATTGAATTAATCACACAAAACAACAAGTATGAATGTTTTACAGGCCAAGTTGAGACGAATAACCTGGAAGAAGTGCAATAGATAAAAACTAAGACTCTAATGGATTACATCTAGGTTCCATCAGTATAATAAACCAATAATTATCACAGAAAAGACTTGAAAATGTTGGAGATAGCAAAGTAAATATCAGTAGTGAAATCAGGTCGAATAACAGTATTGATGAAAGAGTTTCGAGTTAGTTAATAATAGTAATAGTAATGAATCGAATACAATATTAGTATGAATAATAACAGTTACTAAGCAAAAGATATTACCGTGGTAGGTTCAATGTGATCACCATTTCGTTCTGTTTATCAGCTGTGATTAAGTAGGCCACTGCAGTTGCAGGAATCTTTCTACTTGTTTGTCTGAAGATAACAGTGAATGACTTGACAGCACCAACGTCGTGTCCGCAACCTATAAGATGCTTTGTCATTGAACTTTTTTGTACCTCTGCTTCAGATTTTTTAACTGACTAGATGAAATACTCCCTCACGAGATGAGCTGACTGCCTTTCTGTAAGGCGAATGTATTCGCTTGCTATTGTACTTAGTCTGAAGTGTTGGGGATCGGCAACAGTCCGGAAAACACCGGTCGCCTATCCTCCATACTTCTAACTGTGTGTATCAGTTTGAGTGTCTTTGTAGAAACAGATGTGTAGTTTGAGAGGAAAGGGTATTGTTCAAAATGGCCTATAAGCATCACAGTTGCTCTTAATAGATTGGGTGGTGCACTACACGTAGAGTGTATTATTACTTTACTGACTAATTTGGCAGGTCACAGCCTTAAAAGCATATCAACAACCGCGTATCTTCTTCACATGATTATAAAATTCTAAGGTACTGAGTGTGTTGTTAATATTTAATACTTTACAAACCTCATTAAACTATATGTGCTCAAGGGTCCACTAAATTAACAGCTCACTCAGCCTTTAATACCAATAATGTAACACGAATGAATAAAAGTGAGTCATTTGAGAACATTTTTAGAATAGTGGTATATTTAAATAGAAAAAATGTTGAGGTTATTTAGAGAAAAAAGTTGAGGAATTTCTCCCGCTGAGCCAGGAACTCTGTGGATGTGCGCATCAACCAACACAAAGGAGAGAGCGAATCGGTGTCACACATCCTCCAATCTGTTTGTTTAAGCTAGAGTTATATTTTGGTACCATGGAGTTGCAGCATAAAATTGTTTGGATTTTTCATGTCCATCAAAATGCGTTTCAGTGGTGTAGTTTCGAAATGAACAGCATGATCAAACAGTGAACAAAAAATTAGGATTATTCAATTCTGAGACTAGCTGTTATTATTACTCTCAACATAGGACTTCAACCGCACGTCTCCGTTGCTCTTGGTTCTCCGCCAACATTTTCACCTGACTCCGCGTTTGTCCACATGCTCTCATCTCCTCTTCGCATCGCCTCTTTCATGTCACCCCCACACTGACGACCAACTCGCCGCTTCCCGTTCGGGTTCTGCTCGAGCAGTGACCTAGCGTGTGGTGTCACTTGATGGTTTGTTTTCTCAGAGTATGGCCAGTCAACCTCCATTTATACTGGCATAATTGCTGCACAATCGGTTCCTGCTGGGTTGGTTCGCCCCCAGAGATCCTTCTTGCTGACATTTTTTGGCCTTCTGATCTTGAGCAGTATTGAGCGAAGACAGATGTTGATGAAGATCTGCAGTTTTTCTGAAGTGCCCGTCATGACGTGAAAACAAATCTCTGATCCGTGTAATAAGTAGTATTGGCTTCACATTGGAGTTAAAAATCCGGATCTTATTTTTCATGCTGAGTAATGTTGATCTCCAGACAGACTTGAGAGCAATAAAAACTTACCTTGCTTTCCCAATCCTCGCTGATATCCTCATCAGTTCCGTCCGCCAGTATTTGAAACGATGCTTACCAGGTCGGTAGATAAAGGAAGTTGTCTCTTTCGGATTTCTCCCATTTATGCTGAATTTTGTCTGTCGTTGTTGTTGGCTACATTAAGAGAGAATTATTGCACTCTGTTGAATACACGGCAGAGATATTTGGCACATAAACGTTATCAATACATGTGTCAGGTCTGAACGCCCTGAGAAAAAAATTCAACACTTCGTTTGGAAATTTTAAAATTCAAGAAATTAAATGGCAGAGTGATGACAAACACCTTGGTTAAGACATTAACCATGGTGAACCATAATTACCTAAAGCACAGTTAGATTTCAAATTCTTGTTAAAGAACCCTTGTTATCATTTGAAGGCTTTTAATTCCAACTGATTTCCTACCTTCTAAGTGTGTGATTCATACCAGAGCAACTGATCACTCTTTGGTTTGAAAATCATTTCTTCGCTGGTAGTTACGCTGAAACCATGAATTGGTTTGCCTTGTAACCAGAATGTCCTGAGTTTGAACTCCCGTGAATGAGTAGTGTTGAAGAGTTCTAGAGAAGGACGAAGCAGCTGACCAGTACTCCCCGGTGGTTTTGAATTGTTCTCTTATTGACGCCACTCCGTGACCAAACTTGAAACAAGTCGAATCCCCATAAGTTAACTATTGGAAATTTTCTTAATATTCAGACACTAAAGCAGCCTTTATATATACGACTGAAGTTCAAGGGTGACGGATATAGTGAAATAATTGCTAGCAAGTTAAGAAAATCCATTCGAAGAACTTTTAATGCTGGTAAACTACAAGTCATATTTTCTACATGACCTGTTGTTATTCCTCCCAAATGAAAGATGAACTAATCAGACTAGTCACTTCTAATTATATCTACCAGTTCAACTGAGCTTGTGGTGGGGCGAGTTATATTGGCTGTTCCTCAAGGGACTTGATTTATCGTGCTCTCCCGGGAACATCTACCAGTGTGGCTAGATAAAGGCGTAGTTAAAACCATCAACAGTTAGATATTGGACCATCTGGTCCAAACTGGCTACAAAGGCAGCACTGTGGGATCCTTCTCTATCATCAGCTATCGGGTACCAAATAAAGTGCGAGGTACCGCATACTCAAAACAGCAGAGGCTGTTGCAATCCACCTGAGACAACCAGTGCTTTGCGTGCAAAAGGAGCAAGTCCACTCAGCCACTACTACTACCCTTCAGTGGCCTTCAGTGGAGACTAGAAATTCATGAATTTTTATTATTATCTTTCCTAATTTGCGTGTCTGATATTCAGTGTGTATTGTCATGTTGATGCTACTGAACTATAATCCATTGATATTATTATTAATGATTCGACATTATTT